ATTCCTCGTCGACTGCTCGAACAATACTAAATATTCTCCCAAAACCATTTTGACAGAAAACTCAAAACAAGTTATTTTTTACAATTGTGTTGGTGAACACACAGACATCCCAAGGGATACTCTTTGCCTAGCCCTGGCAGGGCAAGGCAGAGAGCCTCAAAAATTTTTTGTGATTGTATGTGTTTTGAAATAACAAAATATTGCAAGTGTTTTTTTGCCTCTCTTTGCACAGTGAGAAATATTTTGTTGGCTTGGATAACGTGCGTTGGCAAACCAAACATTCTAGTTTCCCAAAATAATTTTCGGCGAATAAAAATTCATATTCAATGTCCTCAGCCATTTTTTGTGTGGAGAACTAAATGATATATAGAACCTTTCTTATTCACTATCGAAATGAAACTGAAAATATTTCTTTGTGTGACCAAATCAAAACCCAAATTAGTCCATGGCCATCTTTGTCACACCTGTTTCAGAAATAAAAATAAAATATTCCAAAGTGTTGAAAAATGCATTTGATTTGAACCAAATATTGCAAAGCCAATAAAAAATTCAATTAAAGAAGAAAAATCTTTAAAGCTCCCTGAAAATGTGTAGTATGTTACATTTATGTACACAATTATTTCTTACGGTGCATTCATAAAAATATCCGACAGCACATTCCTCGTCGACTGCTCGAACAATACTAAATATTCTCCCAAAACCATTTTGACAGAAAACTCAAAACAAGTTATTTTTTACAATTGTGTTGGTGAACACACAGACATCCCAAGGGATACTCTTTGCCTAGCCCTGCAATAAAGAGTGGTGTATTCATAGATCTTAAGTGTGGTACATACTCATTAACATGAATGACAATTGCGATAATATAAAGTGCTAGACATCAGACTTCAATCCAGAAGATGATTTTTCCACCTTAACTTGAAAAAAATGAAATGAAAGTAATTGATGATGAGTTGAGTGAACTTTTCAGAAAACATTTGCATCGCATGATAAACTGAGAGCAGAGGAGTTTTTATTTAAATGGAGATGCAACTTGTTTTCCTTAATTAATACAACCAGTAAGAAAGGGACAATACAGGTAGTCGTATCGACACAGCTTCTGGAACAATGAACTGTCAAACCAATTTTGGAATTGAACATTTTAAAAGAAAATGATTGAAAATTTTACAATGTGTTGAAAGTGCATATCATAGCGACCTCCGATTTGTGTCGTATAAGAAAATATATAAAAATCTACTTATTTTTTGGCAAAAACCACAGCAGCGCTTCCGATAAAAATCCTCGTTTATATTGGAGTTTTTGGGTGAAGCAAGCTATTCAACTGTGTTGTAGAATGCCAATGACGACTTTAGTGCGCTTTAAATTCGAGATCATATGAAAAAATATATATATAAGAGCTATGTCTAAATCAGATTCGATAACGGAATCTTCTATTACTAATATCATTGCTCTAGACTGCGTATTATAACTTTAAGAAGGCAAAAATATAAAATCGGATAAATCCGATTTGGTACATACTTGGCAGATTTAATTATAATCGGAACTTTATCGCACATACTGCATTCCTGTGAATTCAAACAAGTAAACAAGATAGAAAAAGTCCGGGCCGAACTTTAAATATTCCCCACCATTTGGAACGAATTTGGAATTTTTCAAAACGAAAAAAATACGATAAAAATTCTGTTAAAATCTTAAAAATACCAAAAATAGCGGTTATATTTTTGTCATAAGCCAATACAATATTCAAATACGACAAATGTATGTATGCATGTATAAATCGATTTAACATAAAATAGGAACTATATGTCTATATGGTTTCCTTTTGTACGTTAATCTGGAAAAATTTGCTTTCGGAGGAGATGCAACTATAAAATCAAATATTAATATTTCATAGATTTTAGGTGCGGTACACACACATCAACATTAATGTGTCTAACTGCTGATTTCATCAATTGAACTAAGACTCTAAAATTTAAAACAAAGGTTAGACAAATTGGAGTTACTTTCGGCTTTTAAAGTCCTCAATCGCGATAGTACTTGATTTATGACCAAATCGTTTCTCTTTAAAAGTCTTAAATATGATTATTTAATTAATTTAAGAAATACCAAAAAGTCCTTTTAATTGAAAATATAACTAGGGCTATAAAAACAAAAAAATAAAAAAGTTAATTAATTTAAAAAAAATAAATTTTTGAAATTTTTCCTCGAGATGGCAATGCCGTCAAAATTTTTGTGTTGACTTCTAATTTAATTATAAATATTATAGATTTTTGCGGTCGACCATGCCGCCAAAAATTTTTGTTCGTGGGCTCTCATTGCAATATTTTGGTGACCTACTTTTTCCCAACCACTTTTGATGAGGGTTTTATGAGTCATAAAGGTAAACATTTTTTCAGACATTTTTTCTTGTCGGATTTGTTGTTTAAAATATTTTATGATTGTTTTAACATTGTTTTGTCTTGTGTGCGAATACATAAGTATTTGCTATGAATAATCGCATTTAAGCCCAACAAATTTTGGTTATGTTATTCGATCATAGTGTCATTCACCTTTATGTTTTGGTATGTATTATTTTCTTAGTTCGAAATGAAAAATGTCTTAAAGAAACTTTGCAAATATTTTAAATTGAATTTTAAATTATGCAAAGAATGGTGGAATGGTGAAAACAAAATGAAATTAATTTTAAGAGCAGATGACCTCACTTTATGTAGATGCTGTGGTAATGCGTCATGAAGCAAAGAAATATATGGTCAAAGTGTTTACTTAGCCACATAGGAATGAAAGAAAGTTTTAAGCCCTAATTTCTCTGTTGTTGGCTTTATTTTCTTGACAAAACAAAATAACTTTCAATCTTGGGCATTAGTTGATCATTTGATGATGTCAGAACGCAAATCGCTGTTATTGTGTTTAAAATATGGCACTACTTTATGTCATATGCTGTAAAAACATAACCGTTAAGAAATGAGCTTAATGCATTTGTTAGAGAGAGAGAGAAAGTACTCTCCCATGTTTCTAATAGGTATTTATAAATGTGAGTCATTGCACGCATTACTTTCTCCCGCTTTGTTGAATAATTTGAAATATTTTATTTTTGCAATAAAACGCATGTCCTCTAAGAATGGGAAAAAAAGTAAAGAAACTCCATAAGAAAAAAAAATAACAAGGTTAGAAGTCAATATACAGGGTGAGATGCAAACACTGGAACCAACTTCAGACTGCTGTTATTTTGTAAGCCACTCGTCCGACAGCTGTTAAAATTATTCCAGTGACAGCTCATTACATTGTTTACAAGCGTACAAAAGCATTTTGGTGAGAATTTTCCAGAAAAAAAGTTATTCGTGATGGAATTCAAGCGTGATAGTGTGATTTCTTTATATTTGGCTGGAAAACCACAAGTGGCTATCGTTAGAGCACTCCAGCATTTAAATGTGAAAAAATCTTTTTTGTTTCGTACCCTCGCTCGTTACCGTCATACTGCTAGCGCAGACCGACGTCAAGGAAGTGGACGGAAGAAAACAGCAACATCAGCAGAAATGGTTCGAAAAGCAAAGAAGCGACTTGATCGAAACCCTGAACTGAGCTGAACATATCGCAATATTCCATTTGGCAAATATTGAAAAATGAGGTCGAGGTAAAAGCATTGGAATTCCAATACCTGCAAGAACTTACACCACAAATGAAAGAAAATAGACTTAAAAGAGCTAAAGAGTTGGTTCGCTTGACCGAATGAGGTTACTCGTTTCATTACCAGTTCATTGTGTCTAGAGTATTTTGGAAAGCAAGGGCCGGGAATGGGCCAAAATACAGCAGAGCAACATTCGGGTAGCGTGTGATGGTTCCATTGGCCGTTTGAAGACCATAATTCGTGACAAAGGTGGCCAATTCGAACAAATCTAAAATTATTCTAAAATGTGATGCTATTTCCGACATTTTTTCTTTCATTCAATAAAATTAAAAAAGGGTAAAAAATATTGCGTTTGACTTTGTTGCAGTTTTTTTTTAATCTCACTTTCTATACTTAATTTGTGGTGTGGGCGCTTAAAAGTATATGCTAAAAATAAAATGTGAAAAAATCACTATACATATGACTTTAATATAATGTGTAAACTAGCCTATAATATTCTTGAAAGCCAATTCCATTCCTTGTCAGTATGCACTTCAATGAGAAATATTATCATCTCTCAACCTTAGCCTTATGAGAGAGGCTTATTCAAAGTGGGAGTAACCTTCATTATTTCATTTTAATATATTGACGTAGATATGTAATTGTATGACAAGAAGTTAATAACTCTGTATTTGTGATTGACAACAAATACAATTGCTATCTCATCGACAGAATATTAACATTGAACAATTAATTGAAATTGCTTTCCTTATTGTTTTGTCGAGGTAATAAAAAAATCTATTCTCTTTTGTTGTTTACAATGATGAGATGACAATATGTCTCCATTTTCTAATGACTTTCATCGATGTACGAGTGTGTATGTGTGTGTGTATATGCATGAATTTGCTGCTTATTACAGAGAAACATTAAAAAGGGGTTCATTTGTTTATTCCTAGAATTTCATGTCATTGAAAATATGAGATTCATAAAAAAATATTGTTATTCCACGCAAAAGATAGACAACATACGCCCACGTCTTCGACGCAAATGTGGCTGTCGTACTCCCACAACCCCCCACCCCACCCCTTTCCTGTGGGCTTAAAATATCATTAATTATATGTATAGCCATTATTTAAGAGAGAGAGAGATACATTAAAAAATTGCCTAAGACACATATTTTAAAAACATTTTAATTTTGTTTTTCACTTTTTTGTGCAAAAACAAATTTTAATGCAATTTTAAGCCGCAAGAAGAAGAAGAAGTGAAACAAAAATAGAATCCTCAAGAAATCCAACAAAGCGAAAGTAGACAGACAAATACCAAATTTTATTTTCGTTGTTTTGTTGTATTTTTTTTTTTTATTTCAATTTTTTCCATGGCTGCAATTGCCGTACAGACGTAGTTTTTCACATGGCCAACGTGTGCCAACAACACCACAAGCGACTGAAATTCACAGGCTAAGTGAATTTACGATGATGATCCTATTGCCGCTGGGTTTATATGCACTTGCTGCTTGACTGACGGACAGCCTGTGCCTGAATGGGGTAAGTAGTATTCATTCTACATAGACGAATGTTTGCTATTTTTAAAATTCAATATGAATATTTTCGTTTGTGTTTATTGATTTTATTTTGTTTTTCCAAAGGCAATTAAGAAATGTGATAAAAATACGATACATAGACACAGATGGAGAAGGAAAGGAAAAGAACATTGCCAGAGAGTGTAAGCGTGTGTTACACTCTTTACAAAGAGTCCATTTTATTTAAAGACATAAATTTCTTTGCATTGAATGTGGATAATGTATCTATAGTATCTGAATAGCCTGAGAAATTTTCTACGTTTTTATAATCACAAAGATAAAGTATCTACACTATAAAAGTAACTTAAAACATGTATCTATGTTATTCTAATAACCAGAATAATGTATCTACGTTACCACAATATTCTAAAATAAGTATCTACATCAATCTAATAAAAAGGATAATGCATCTACATCATCAGAATGACACGTAAAATGTATCTAAGTTGTTCTAATAATGTATCTACATGATCTAAATAGTCTTAGTAATGTATCTACGTTATCCGGATAAAATGAAAAATGTATCTAAGTTGTTCTAATAACAAATATAATGTATCTACGTGGTTTTGATAACACGAATAATGTATCTACGTTATTCTAATAACAAGGATGATGCATCTACACTATAACAAGCACATGAAAAATATATCTACCTTGTTCAATTAACAAAGAAAATGTATCTACACTATCAAATCAACATGAAAATTGTATATGCGTTGTTTTAATTACAACGACAATGTATCTACACTATCTAACTAAAGTGCAATATGTATCTACGTTATCCTAAAAATAAGAATAATGTATCTACGTTATCTCAATATTGTAAAATATGTATCTAAGTTGTTCAAAAAACAAGAATAATATATCTGCACTATTCAAATAACGTGAAAAATGTATCTATGATGTTCTAATAACAAGGATAATGTATCTACATCATGTAAATAAAGTCAAAAATGTATCTACGTTATTCTAAAAACAAGTTTAATGTATCTACATTGTCTAAATAACATGTATCAATATTTAAATACTGTGCAAAATGTATCTACGATGTTCTAATAATAGGAATAATATATCTACGTTGTCCAAGTATTGTATGATATGTATCTACTTTATTGTAATAGAGAGGATAATGTATCTACATTACCCAAATGGCGTGAAAATGTATATACGTGATTCCTATAGATATAGGAAGGTGTAAAACAGGTCCTGTGTTGATGAAAATATTGAGATGTACCAAGTATGAATGTAATCAGATGTCAATTTCCCGTTTTATAAGCTTCATGGATACTCAAAATATTGACTCTTTGTGGGGAATGTACCAGAAGAAGTGCACTGATATATCCCATTTTCACACTAGACTTTGGGTTAAAAAAATATTGTGATATGTGTAATTTGAAGAGAACCGGATTTATTAAAAATTTTAACACTTTGTGGGGGAGGTACCAGAACAAATTGTCCGATCCACCATTTTTATAACAGATCCTGTGTTGGTGGATACATGAGATTTGCAAGTATGAATGTTAATTTCGTGTTTTATGAGATTCATGGATATTCAAAATTTTGACCTTTGTGGGGGGAAGTACCAAAAGGAGTGGACCGATACATTCGATCTTCACACCAGATCTTGGGTTAATTATAATATAATGATGTGTGTAATTTAAAAACAATCGGACACTTATATCACATTTTATAAGAGTTATAATTGTTCAAAATGTTGACCCATTGTGGGGCAGTTACTTGATGAAGTGGGCCGATATTGTCCATTTTCGCACCTGAACTGGAACTAATGCAAATATTAGGATTCGCAAAGTTGGAGCAAAATCGGATTATTGTTTCTCTTTCTGTGCAGAAAATATTTTTTTGTTGAAAATTTCGACCTTTTGTGGAGGAGGTACCAAAAGGAGTGGACGGATATTGCCCATCTCCGAACTCAATCTAAGTTTGACAAAAATATTACGATGTATCAAGTTTGGATCGAATGGGATACTCCCTTCGAGAGATATCGTGCCAAACAGACAAACAGAGGAAGGACGGATGTACGGACGAACATCGCTACATCGACTCCAAATGTCCTGAAATGGATTTGGTCCAAAGAAACCTAGGGTCTTAACCCGTTCTTTCAATGAGGCACGTTCTGACCGTATCAAATTGTATATACCCTCTCTAGCCATATGGGTGAGAGTATAATAATGTATCAAAATTATTAAAATAATGTGAATTATGTATCTACACCCGCCAAATAACGTAAATAATGTATCTACTGCAATCAAACAAAGTGGAAAATGTATCTACATTATCCAAAAGAACCTCAAACATGTATCTACATTGTTCCAACTACTTGGAAAATATATCTATTTCATACACTTCATAAAAATATACATTTGTGATTTATGAATTTTTTCTAAGTGTATCCTTCTCCGTCTCTCTCACGCTCTACAGCCACCAACATCTGTTATGATTTACAGCGTTTGACATTGAACTAAATAAAGTTGATGATTTACATTTGGTTTTTCGTTAATGGTAATTAAGCTAATGTAAAACTTTGATAGTGTTCAGATTTCGCATGTTTTCTTCGTACATACATACATGCGTACACATGTATGTATGTATGTGTATTCATATTTCTATGTATGACGCAAGGCAAATGACTTATAATTAGTTTAACCATAAATCCGCAACTGTTATGTGGTTGTGGTTTTGCTCTAATATTAATTCCTTTGTTTAATAAGGTTTTTGCTCCTGTCTCTGCAAATCTATCAATGGCTTTCGTGGAAATTCTCATTATTTTTAGTTGTCTTGGCTGCTGCCACCGATGGGGCCGTTGCCACAACAAACCTCCCTCCCTTGGTGAACTATTCGCTACTTGCTCCGTTTATAGTTTATTTATGACATTTTCTTGAAATGCGCCGCACCTTTTCACTGAATAGCGAGAAATAACAGACATGTGTCGTATTTGTCTCACTAGAAGTGTTGGGGGCATGACAAAAACACCAAATACCAAAAAAAAGCAGATGGAGGAGGATGGTGGTTTTTTACATTTGAACTTGGTTAGACAATTTTCTAATGACAACGAGGACGTTGTCTATTTTTTGCTCGTAATAGAGGTTAATATGTTCTTAAGAGAATAAAAAAAACACAAAATCATGCAACCACTCGGTATTCTTTGTTGTGACGATGGGGGTGATTAGGGGTAGTTGTGGGAGTACCCCTTTCGAATAACCTTCCATAGATACAACCTAAATGAAATGCCAGTTTGGTTTGCCATTAACATAATGTTTTGAGTTTTATTCGAGCATTTTAAGGCATGCACAGGTGTAGCTGATGAATAAAGTAATGGTTATCACGCAAATTAGTAACGAGTGTTCAATATTGAAATATTGTTGCGGACGCTACCAAAGTTACTTTGTATTAAGTTTTTTAAAGGATTTTTTGTTCAACGCCTGAAGATATGCAGCAATTTATGTTAATAAGGCAATTTTGAATCCAGAAAAGAAGGGAAATGTTTTTAAACCATACCTCCGAAATACCTGCTCAAATTCGAGAGGAGAGTGAAACTCGCTGGAATTCTAGCGGGAGCATACCTAGGAGTAGAATGAAAAATATCGAGTATGCTATACTGCCATTCATGTTAATAAGGCCCAACTAGGTACATGTTTTAACCCAGAGAAGAAGGGCAATGTTTTTAAATCAGACCTCCGAAATACTGGCTCAAAGTCGAGTAGAGGGAGAAACTCAATCGAATTCTAGTGAGAGTACCCCTAGGAGTAAAATGAAAAAATATCGAGCATGCTTTACTTTTCGATGTCATTCAAATAAGAGCGAGAATGTTTTGCTGGTTTTAAAGCGGACCCGGTCAAGTAAATGTTCTCCCAACTTTTTTACTCTTTGTTTACATGGTTTTTAGATGGTCCTGGTTGTGAGAGTGTAGGAAAATACGCTCAGTGAAAGCATGTGTGCCTATCTTGAATGTCAATTAGACCTAAGATAGGAAAGGTTTGAACCCAGAGAAGAAGGGCAATATTTTTAAACCAGACCTCCGAAATACTGGCTCAAATACGAGTAGAGAGTGAAATTCACTCGAATTCTAGTGGGAGTACTCCCAGGAGTAGGATGAACAAATATCGAGCATGCTTTACTTTTCGATGTCATTCAAATAAGAGTGAGAATGTTTTCTTGGTTTTAAAGTGAGCCCGGTCAGGTAAATGTTCTCCTATTTTTTTTACTCTTTGTTTACATTGTTTTTAAATGCTTCCGATTGTGAGAGTGGAGAAAATTACACTCAGTGAAGGCATGCGTGCCTACCTTGCCTGTTAATTAGACCTAAGATAGGGAAATGTTTGAAACCAGAGAAGAAATGCAATATTTTTATACCAGACCTCCGAAATATTTGTGCGAATTCGAGTAGAGAGTGAAACTAGCTCGAACTCTAGCGGGAACACTCCTAGGAGTAGAATGGAAAAATATCGAGCATGCTTTACTTTTCGCTGTCGTTCAAATAAGAGCGAGAATGCTTTGCTCGGTTTAGAGTGAGAACAAAACCCCTCAGCAATAGGGCTAGAGAGGGTATATATCATTTGATACGTAAAAAACGCGCCTGATCGCAATAAATATTTTAGACCCTAGATCTCTTCGGAAAAAATCCGGACATTTGGAATCGATCTAGCGATGTGCGTCCAGACAGAGGTCTGGAGAGAGAGAGAGAGAGTCCAAGCTCGGTACATCGTAATATTTTTGTCAAACTTAGATCGAGTTCGAAGATGGAAAATATAGGTCCACACCTTCTGGTACCTCCCGCACAAAATGTCGGAATTTTCAAAAAATATTTTACTCCACAGAAAGAGAAAGAATAATCCGATTTTGTTCCAACTTTGCAAATCTTGAAATTTGCATCAGGCCGAAAATAGACAATATCGGCCCACTTCTTGTGGTACCTCCCCCACATAGGGTCAAAATTTTGAATATCCCTGAAGTTAAAAAAACTCGAAATTAACATTCGATTCCATTCAGACTTGGTACATCTCAATCAGCACCAGATATGTTATAAAGATGGTAGTAATCGGACCAACGATTATAAAATCCGTAAGAATCATTCGGTTCTCTTCATATTTCACACATCCCAATATTTCTACAAACACAAGATCTGCTGTGAAGATGGAATATATCGGTCAACTCCTTCTGGTACCTCCCCCACAAAGCGTCAAAGTTTTAAACTTCCATGAAGCTACATTCAGGCTTGGTGCATCTAAATATTTTCATCAACACAAGATCTGTTATAAAGAAGGTAGAGATCGCACCATTTCTTCTGGTACCTCCCCCGCAAAGAATCAAAGTTTTGAATAACCAAAACGATCATAAAATCCGAAATAAGCATTCGGTTCTCTTCATATTACACACCGTTATTTCTACTTACGCCAGATCTACTGTGAAGATGGTAAATCCGGTAAATCCCCCTCCCCCAAAAGGGTCAACATGTTGAATATCCATAAAGCTAATAAAAACGTAAAATTAACATCCGATACCATTCAGACTTGGAACATCTCAATGTTTACATCAACACAAGATCTGTTATAAAGATGGTAGAGATCGGACCATTTCTTCTGGTACCTCCCACATTTTAACATTTTGTAAAAATTTTCACAGATTTCATATAAAGTGAAGGTCCAAACCTGGTCCATCGCATTATTTATATCATATTTATTTAGGTGCGATGCGGAATGGAACCTACTCCATAGAGGGTCAAACATTTGAATAAACATAAAAGAAGCGAAAATATATTTACATTGGCTGCAGGTAATAATTGTTTTCCAAATCAAATCTTCATGTTTCCAAAATATATCGGACATTCCAGGTTAGTGATCCAAGGGGTCATTAGCTTCCATGAAACGTAGAGATTTCATTTCAATAACAACATTTTGTTTCTTTGAAACCTCCAGCGCCCATGAACCACATTTTGAAAAACCCATTAAGAGCAAATCGATTGAATATGGGGAAGTGTTCGAGAA